TAACTAAAATCAAAGCATAATAAAGAAGTAATATGAATGTCAACAGTTAAATCATAGTATTTATATTCATATGATCATTGAATTAGTGTATAAATAATAAATCTCAGCAATAGTAACATTTGTAAATAATAAAATATTATGGTATGAAAGCTAGTAAAGTTGTAAACCAGTATGAGTTTTAAATCTATAAAACAATCATCATATCAGTAATATCAATAAGTATATAAATCAAATAAAATATCAAATCAAAATATTGGTAGAGACTATAAAAATTAAAATAATGTAATAAAAATATATATGAATGTACACATGCTATCCAGACATTCTATATCATGTGCTTAGTATATCATATATTTAATATTAAAACAATAAATCAATAATAATAAATATTATCGGTATCTAAATCACTAACAATAATAATCCAATGACAGGAGCAATTAATAGAATGATACAATAATAGTAAATTCATGCAATAATAATAAATCTGTACAATAATAAGAATAATACCTCAGGAACATGTATTTCAGTAGTCATATTAAATAAGTAAGAAGTCCTAGTACCATCACGATGTTTTTCAGTGTTAAAATTAGTGTTAGTAAAATGTTTGCTCAATAAATATAGTCATCACTCTTTATCCGTCGGCACAATAATGATCTCATTATAACTCCCAATCAATGTATCACGTGAATTAGTAAAGGATAATACCAAACCATAATATTTAAAGGAAAGCCCGTCGGGTCATCATCCTCTATATGTCAATCAGTCTCCAACCAACGGGTTAACCGGTATTTACTTATGTATATAAAAATTACTATATTTTCAAAATTATCAGATGAAAAATCTCAAATAAATACTCAAAATTCTCATAATCATGATTTCTATAACATATAAAAAGTTACGCAATGAAAATTTCTTGCAACCTGACGAGCAAATATCTCAACAAGCCCGATTGATAAAAATCGCTCTACGGCCTCCAAATCTGAATTTTCTTTTTTCTCTCTTATTTTACTCTTTCCATTCTCTGTTTACCATTTGCTTAGAGAGAAATAAAAGGATTTAAAATTGTTTAATAATACTTTTAGATACTATAATAAAATAATTATATAATATAAATATAATATTAATTTAAATAATTTTTTAGTATAAAATTCAAATAAATTATTTTAGGACTTCAAAAATTAAAGAAAAATATCCATAAAGTAAATCCTTTTATTTATAAAATATTAGTGAAACCGATTTGTAAAATGGACACCTGAAGATCCCTAAATATTCATTTAGTATCAATATGTACTAATTTTAAAGGATTTTCTCAGGGTTAAAAAATTACAAAAAAAAAAAAAATCATGTAACTAAAATATTACAATAAAAATGCTATGGCGAAGACGATTTGCAATTTAAAGTTATAATGACTCCAAAAAAAGTGTCAATGTCAAAGTCAAAATTCAGGCTATTACGAAATTATCTAATTCTAACATTATTAGGACACTTAAACGCTGAAATAAATATTCTATGATTAAGAGAATCAATGTGAACACTTAAATGAAAAGTTTTGACTTTTGAACAAATTTATGAAAATATTCATCTTAAAAGCTATAAACATTCAGTAATGAGAATCGTACAATTATTCACAACTCGGTAATTATCTATTTTTTAATTGTGGGTAAGAGTTCATTATATCTTTAATTATATGGTGAATTTTTTCTATTGGGTTAGACTATGTGATTTTTTCCTTTTTGGGCTTTACATTCAAATATTTGTTATATGAGTAAGTGTGTGTGTGTGTATATATATATATATACAAAATTAAATTTATGCAAAGACTTATTTTGATCTCATTTCAAACTAGTTAATATATTATTTTTTATTTGAAATAAAATAAATGCTTAGTGAATCCTATCCATTTATGTTATATTGTGTGCATGGTGTGCTTGTAGTCCATCGCAAGTGCATAAATCACACACAATTGTCAAAGTTATATATTGGTAGATAAAGTTAACTCATTGCCGACATATAATCTTACATATGGCAAAAACTATGACGTGAATTAGTCGTTCATAAAAATTAATGAAATAATGATATTTTTTGTCCTATTCCTCAAAAAGTCCTTTGTGATCATAATTTATTGTTCATCCAAAATTGATCAGGATAACTTTATTTAGTAACCTCTCCAACCTATATTATCATTTTTACATATGAATACAACCAAAGAGCCACAATTATGTTAAGACACAATACATCAACATATATATAAACCTTTTAAAATAATTTCTTTAATTTTAAGCCTCTCAATGTTAACTTTCCAAATCAACCAATCAAATTTAAGAGAATGACATTTGAAACAGTTTCTTTAATTTTGCCATATGTAGGATTATATGTTGGCGATGAGTGAGCTTTATCTACCAATATATAGCTTTGACAGTTATGTATGATTTATGTACTGCAAGCCTTCGCCTTGCAAGCAAAATACAACTCACGATGGACTACATTACAAGCAAATCACACAATATAATATAAATGGATAGGGATTTTTTTTTTTTTTTGGAAAGATGAGATTTAAGCGGTGGATAGACAGAATTTAATATGTAAGAACGCTGAGTCGGATTTTGAAGTCTTTTTGTCTCATTGGACCATCCGTTTGGATGATAGATCTCCCGTCATTTCTTTAATAAATAAATTGTTTATATATTTTTCAAACATTGAAAATTTTACTATGCTTATTATCAATTAAAATAAATTAGTGAAAATGAAAGACGCGTTTTCATGAATTATCATAGGCATTTTGCAAGACATTTTTTGATGTTAAGGAATGATGAAAGTCAAAAGACTTATAATTAGTGGGAATAGAAGGATAGTAGTCGAGCAACATTGGCTGTATTCAACTCCTCAAATAATGGGCGCGATGGTTTGATGATTGTAGTTGGGAGACTATTGTCCATGGACCGTAGTTAGGCGTTAGTGGTGCAAGGACTGTAGTTGGGTGATAGTGATTTGTGGATTGTATTTGATAGGCGACAAATGTTGAAAGAACTGTAGTTAGATAATAGTTGTCTGAGAACTTTAATCGATGGATGATAAAGTTCAGGCAACAATGGTTAAGATCGTAGTAGATGGGTGATGGTGGTTGGGAGGACCATATATAGACGAGCGACAATGATAAGAGGAATGTAATTGGGAGACGATGACCCGATGATCGTAATCGGGCTACAATGATCTGAGGACTACAGTTGGGGGCAATGGAGGCCAAACAGGCCATAGATGGGTGTCAATAGTTTGAGGATAGTAGTCAATGGGTAATAGTGCCATGACCTGGTCCGAAGGCTAGAATTAATGAGTGAGAATAGGCGGTCGAATGGTTATTTTTTTTTCACTAAAATTTCTAAAACACATTACTTCAAATTAGGTTCCTATTATACTAAGCTTTCATTTGTGATGAATTACTTACTGTTTTGTGAATTTTTTTTTTAATACAAAAATTTCCTGTAAGAAAAAAAGAAGTGATCTAAAGCTGTTCAAAATGAAGCCTAAGGCTTCATTTGTGATAACTTTTTGTACTAAAAAGCTATTGTAAGATGCATTAAAAAAGTCATCCCAAATGAACTCTAAGGATTTTTTTGGGATGATTGCAGCTGTTGATAAAGTAAGTTTAAAATTATTGTATAGAAAACTGAGTTCTGAAGTTGCTGTGTAAAAATCAATATATTTTGTTTGAGAACAAATTACTTTGATTTGCTTCCATATATTGAGATGAAAAAAATTATTTACATAACAAAATTATTAAAATAAATATAATAATAAACTAACAATTTTATATTAAAAATTGAATAATTTTATCCCTTAAACACCCTCATAAAAATATTTTAAATTTTAAATTACAATAAAGTTTTATTAATTGAAATTACAACAAATAAGTATAGCAGTACTTTGCTACATATTTATATCATAATATGTGGAACACATTTCTGAGTCGTGCAATTACTGTAGGCAGTAATTTTACTGAAAATTTATGAGAATAATCAGTCGGAAAAAAAGCTTCAACAACATCAGAAAAAGATTAGTCTCCGTAATGAAGTGTTGTTGATAATTTACTGACTTGGGCATTGCAGGTTTTTCCAGCCTAATCAAATTATTAGCATACTATTAATCCTAATGGTAAACACATCCACACAACAACCCTCTATTCTCGATTTGGAAAAACAACATCAAGAATGTTTATTCTATGCGGAGTCTAGATGTCGTCTAGAGACCAACAAAAATGCGTTACGTCACCCCAAAAGTGTATCGCGTTCGGTACCGAGCGCGGTACTGATGCTCGGTACCAAGTGCGGACCGGACGGTTCTCCTGTCCGGTGTACGCACAGAATAATCTCGGCTCCTTCCCAGGTTTGCACGGGGATCTCAACAATTTGGCATCCAGTAGGCATAAATATTCAGAACAGCTCTGCAAGTGGGGTAGAAAATTTCAGTAAATTTTGATTTTGTTTAGGACGATTTTCTTATTACTTATTAAAATAATTTTTTAGTAAAAAAAATAAAATTTTGACACTAGAAAGCTGATTTAAGAAGCTGTAAGAAAATCATCCCAAACAAAATCTAAATTTATCTCACAATTAAATTTGTCTTTATATATCACAAAAAAGCCAACGAATTTATAATTTGAGAAAAAATCTTCCTATTTTAGAAGAAAAATATTAAAATAAATAAAAAAATCATTAAATTTCTCCACCTCCCAAAAATTCCATCATATATGCCAACAAAATTACCCCTAAAAAAAACCTAACAGGTACGGCGAGCCACCTGCTATGACACCTTCAAATATGGTCAAAACTGCTAAGACAATCTATATAGAAGAAATGTTCAGTGATATATATTATATTAAATTTATTCAAAATGACTTTACAGTTAACCACAAATAAAAATTAAAATTTACATAACCGATCCTTTCTTTGCATTATATAAAGTTATAAACCACATGAGAGTTAGAATTATCAGGAAGTGCAACCATGGCTGCTCCGAGTTACTATTACTTCTTCATGGGGCCGGCGGTGGCCGCCGTCTTCATTATTGTACTAAACGCTTTTGTAATTGTCTTCTCATCGTCGGTGAAGGAGTTGGTGGTGACTGGAAAGATAAAGAGAGAAGAGTTGGAGCGGCGGATTCCGACGAGGAGGTACGAGCGGAAGGAGGGGAACGGAGAGGAGGAGTGTTCGGTGTGCTTGTCGGCGTTCTTAGACGGCCAGAGAGTTCGGCGTTTGCTGGACTGTAACCATTGTTATCACGCTTCTTGTATTGATAGGTGGCTGATGTCGCACGCGAGCTGTCCGATTTGCAGGGCCGATGTTTTGCCTTCGGTTAGGGCAAAAAGAGCGGTCAGCTGCGGAGTTTAGATGAGAAATTTTATCTGCTTATTGATATATTGAGATATAATTTTTCTCCGAAAAAAATTTGGTGAAGGATTTGTTGGCTTAAATTAGCTAAGAATTTAATATGTGTATATATATTTTGGATTGTAAAACTTTTATCAATGTATAAGATATGGTTTTTATTTTTTTGATAAGGTCTGATCCTTATTTCAATGAATGAAACTCTTGTAATGTTAAAATTATATATATATATATATATATATATTAAACTAATTGAAAGATCTTACCAGTTGTCATCTATGTTTAGTATAAGGAACACATCCACCAGTACGAAGGGAGCTTCCTAAACCCCCATAATCAGATGCATCAATATATATATATATATATATATATATATATATATATATATATATATATGAAGTAAGAATTCTCATAATTAAATTTATGATAATTCTAACTCCAATTTCAACAATTTATGCTTGAATTAAGCAACATGAATTTATCGACACTATAAGTGATCCAATTTGATTCCGAGTGAACTTAAATGAAACACTTTGAAATATAATTGAGAACTTGAGGACATTAGTTAGAGATCAAATAATCTCCGAATTTCACACATTAAATGACTAATTGAGTGGTTCTACGATAAAAATCCAATGAGATCCATGTACTGGAATTTGTACCATGTTTAGTTTTAGGTCATTTTAGGTTGACTTGTTTGGTTCGTCAAATCACGTTCCCAATAACTCATGTTTTTTATTTTTCTGCAGTTTTGAGAAAGCTTTTTATATATGCTTCTCCGTTAGAAAACTCAATTTTCTGAACTAATGCTTTTTAAAACTGTCTTTTATAAAAGCACAAAAAAAAAAAAAAAAAAAAAAAAAAAACAAACGAAGCCTCAATCTTACATTCTACCAACTAATCTTCTAAGATTATTACATCTTTAATCATAGCATAATATATCCATTTTTATTCATTTTAAAGATATTAATCTTCACAAATATTATATTTTGTTCCTTTAAGGCGATGTTCTATTAATCATTAACATCCACTTTTTAACATGGAAAATGAGCAAAAATGAAAGAATAAGATAAAGCAAAAAAATAACTCACCAATTCATTAAGTAGTTGATGACCACTGCATTTAAGATTCAACACATCTTTACAAATATGTAATTTCAAAGGAAAGACATTTGGAGAAGAATATTTGTGATCTTTATCATTAGCTGATACTGTTAAAATTTCATCCATTTTATTTTTTTTTGAACATGATATTATCAAAGCTTCATCCATCTTTTTCTTCTTCAAACATGATATTTCATCATGATTTATGAAAGGTAATTTGGATAAAGCTTTTGAGGCATAAGTGATTACCTCCAATTTTTTGTTTGATTTTTTTAACATCAAACCATGAGATTTACTTGTATGAATAAACAAATTGACCTTGAATTAAAGGTCATCATTTACATCATTTACATATTTGTTAAGATATATACCTCATTATTTTTAAATATTGAAATATTGAGAATCCTAATTCTTATTTCTTCTCTCCAACATGAATGGGAATATCTAGCACATCTAAATCACCCCATTTTTCAAGAAGACCCAAACCATTATTCAAAAAAAGAAAATAAAAATTTAAGTGATATATGGTTTGAAGGCTATACCATGTGATTTAACAAGTGATGCATCCTTGAGAATCATGTATAAATATATATATATTCTTGCTAAATATTATAGTGTTACTATTGTACCATAAATTTTGAAGAAGATAATCAATCCGATGATGATTGCCATAGACATGCATGAAAATTGGGATATGTTAACTTGTATGCCATCAAGATATTTATTAGTTCAGGAGCTAGGGGAAAATGTAAACTTTCACATAAACTGGTATGATAAATCATAAGATATCTTGGTGGTGGAAAATGCACTTGGTCTGATCTTCTAGGAAAATATTAAAATTCTAGAAATCACCTTAATTGTAAAAGTCAAATTTTGGCCCCTTGACTGATGCGGTTAAATAATTCCAATAATTCTAAAATTTCAATAATTGGTTAAAATCTCAGAAAAATCTAACTTGATTAATAAAATAGGATAACCAATATTTTAATACATAATTTGCACTCCTAAGATGAAGTTTTTAGGATTGACTACCTTGAGCTGCGAGACTAAGTATCCTAAGAAGGTCTGGTTACTCGAGTCCACTATGATAAAGTCACGAACGAATTCAATGGAGTGTAAAACCTTAAAATTAAATTAATCTTAATTATTTAACTAAATTAAAATCCTTATAGGTTGGACTACCTTGATATGCTGGGTTATGTGTTTTAAGGAGGTTTGATTACTCGAGCTCACTATGAAAATGCCATGAACTAGTTGGTGAAAAATCTAAATTTATTTAATCCTTAAAATTAGCAACTAATCAAATTAATTAAAATTCATCGATCCTTTAATCTCTAACTAATTAAATTCATTTGACCAATTAATTTTTAAAATGTATTTTAAAAGAAAACCTTAATACATTAATATTTGAGCTATAACTAAATTTTCCCCTTTTAACCCTTAACAAATCTAAACATTAGACAACTTTAACAAATTACCCAGCTTAGGATCTACCCCACCCACATGATATTTAACACACACTTTATATGATTTCCTAGGACAACCAATTCTAGTCCATGCTAGGTTGGTATTTACTTTTACTATTATGTGCTGGGTTTTCTAGGTTTTTATTGCTTGTTGTGATTAAAAATTGATTAATGTGAGTATTTATTTACTTTAACTGTAATATGTGAATTGATATGATGGACAATATTTTACCCTCAGGTTCTGACCGATCTAGTTGCTCACTGAGTTTTTTGAAGGTGATCATGCTAGTGCAAGATAATAAAATGGGGCTAAATATAATAATAAATAATAAATATAAATGATATAGGTGCTTCTATTATTTTTCTCCAAATAAATAGGAGAGTGGATAAGTGTGATTTACTTCTTAATGTACATATATATAAACTACTTGGAATTTATTTGATTTAAAATGCTTAGGATAACTCTGTAGGAGAGTCTAGATTTTACATTTTAAACTCAATATAATTTGTTTGAAGTTAAGAGTTATGAAAGTTAAACCTTGAGTAGGGATACATAGATCCAAATTTGGATCCCAAAGGGGAAGGGACATCCCTCAGGGGATGGTCCTTCTTCATTTGGAAGCTCAAATTTGGATCATTGCAGCACTCAAAGTGAAAAGAATAACCTCCTCTTCGGTGAAAGAGTTTTTATTTTCATTTGGGTCCCCAAATATGATGAATCCAAGAAACCCGAAGAAGAGGAGGACGAGTAGTTGAAGATGAAGAGTACTCGCTCAAAGTAAACTTGTGTCAATCCTAGGATTATAATCCATGTTTGTGGTTAGTGGTGCCTAGACACTTTTAATTTGTATAAATTTTTGGTTGTAATAAACATATAATTTTCCTATGAACATTTATTTAATTGATTTGATTTATTAATATGTTTGATTTAAATTGATTGTGATTAGGGTTGCTTATTTTTCTTAGTTTTTTAGCAATTTGCATGACATTTTTGTGTTAGCTTAGATATGTAGAGGCTCGTGAGGGCACGTATAAAACTTATTCTACTTAAATTTAAATAAATATGTTAGGCCAACATAGAAATTCTAACGATCTATTAAGTATACCCAAGATCGTTAGGATTCAGCATAAGCATATTATTTACTTCTCTTCCTTATTAGGCATATCTTCGCCTGTGGGTTCTAACAAACCACCTGGCCTTTGAGGGGTGCAGATCTGTCAAGGGGATGTTGTGCAATTTCTGGGAAAAAAATGATTTTTAAGTCCTTTAAAATGGCTTCATATTCATTTTATGTATTTAATAAAGTCGATCAGTATGTATTGCACTAAAAGCTTATTAAACGAGTTTAAAATTTTAATTATATTTGATTCAAATATTTTTCACCCTACATAAGTCAAGGGACCAATTAGGATCCGCTCTAGACTTCAGTCCCAATTCTTAAAAACTTTAATAACAACATCCCTACCACTCTTTCATAAAAATTACTAGATTTTTGGATTTTAATTGATTAGGTGGTTAGCTGGCTCTCCAATCGAAGCCGGAGTAAGTCCAATTTTGAACTGTCTTAGTTAGGTTGGGGCTACTAAGTTCCAATGCGCAATTTAGATTTAGGATATGAGTTTAGATTTTGAATCATAAGGCCCGGCCCCAACCTTTAGGAATATAATCTCAAATTTCTAATAATACGATCAACTCAAATTAAAAAGATTCTCTCAGTCCAAAACTTAAAGTCCAACACTTAGATTAGGTCAGGACATTTCTGAATTATTTTAGAATCTCAATGTGTCACTTACTTCTCCATCGTTGACTCCAAAAATATGTGTTCAAAATTTGATCCAATCCTTATTAAAACTCCAAACTCACCTCCTTTGATATCACTCATAGAAAATCCTTAAATAGAATTTCTAACAATTTAAATAATTTAAAAAGGAGCAAAAATGCCAAACAATTTAACATTTTCTATAGAAAACATAATTAATTAAGAAATATTAAATTATTTGGTATTTTTTATAGAAAATGCTAAATTATTAGGTGTTTTCTAGAAAACAGTAAATAAGTTGATGTTTTGCACTAATTTTAAGAAGAGAGAGAGAGCTGGGGGGAGAGAGAGAAAGGAAGAGAGAGATGGTAGGACGGGAAGAGAGATAGGCGAGGTGAGGGAAGAGAGAGAGGATATTATAACTTAATTTATTAATTTCTTAGATAAGTTTAAAACTTAATTTAATTAAAGCTTTATAAATTAATTTACCTTTATAATTTATAACTTAATCTAATTATAAATTAAAATTAATGACTTTATAACTAAATTTAATTAAAATTAATAACTTAAAAGTATAATTATATAAAGTTATAAAGTTATTAATTTATAAATTAAAATTCATAACTTTATAACTTAATTCTACATTATAATTTATAACTTTTAAATTATAATTT